TGAACCGGGGTGATCCTACGATCCTCGAGAGAGGAGAGGTGCAAAGGGACAGAAATGGGCAAGGGTTGAGGTGCAAACTTCAGAAACTTCCTTTGCAGTATCTCGATACGGGAAATTTGATCGATCCCCCTGGTATGGCTCCAACAACTGAAGCGTACTCAAGGCACGAGCGTACAAGAAATGAGTACAGACACAGCCTCGTGCATGGGTCCCTGAACTGGGATGAACTAGGAACATTAGGGGGCAATTAAGCGGGGGGGGGCAAAAGCAACATCACAGTTTCAAGAAACCCCTCGGGGGTCCATATTGTCAAAATCGCCACCCACCACAATCTCGAATATAGCCGGCCCTTAAGACCCTTGAATTTTGAGTACCTCGGTTATCTAAAAAGAAGCAAACAATTTGGCTATAGCCACTATCAGTTTTTGCAGTCAAGCCACCGAAGTTCATAGCAGAACCTTCGGAACCTTGGAAGCGCCAAAACGACCTGAAATTGATTATAAGTCCCCTCTCAACTTCAGCAATGTACTGATTACACACAAATTTACTCAGAAAGGTAAACTCACGCTTGTGCTGCACATTCCTCACCCAGTCAACAGGGTCACCAGGGTCACCAGGGTCAACATGGTCTTACCAAAATGTTTTTAAAACTTGCTGCGTAGATTCTTGCATCACACTAGACCCTTCGTATACCACGGTAGCCTATAGGAGCCATGCACTCTTTTGGAAGCATAATTAACAATAATCTGACGAATTGTATTTAGGAAAATTCTATAAGAAGCGTCGACATGTCAGCCCTAATGGCATTCAGACTTATATCAGGCAAGAAGTAATTGGCAAATCGTTCCGCCCCGGGCAAATAACAATGGAATTTTGTCATAAATACCAATGGCATAAAATGCATGTCGCATTCTGCAATAGGCAGTTCGCAACATGTAATAGGACAATCGATATCCAAACGAATGAAAATGCACATTGCTCGGCATCATAGCCGACGATTGCGGATTGGCGGACCGTACCAGCGAACCCAGATTAAAGTCGCCAACAAGGCAGAGCTGCTGACCGTCTCGAAGATTGCTATAAATGTTCGCAATATTGTAGATTTTATACCCACTATTAGGTGGAATTTACGACGCGCAGAAATAGGTTATTCGACTTAGAGGCCACCGAAACCCCAATCTGATCCAAGAGAGACTCGTCTTCCAACATACGAACCGGATTAGAGCGCAGGGTTCGTCTAACGGACACAAGGAAGGACCAGGAAGCTCCCACTGAGCAATAGGGGCAAGGCCCATCCCATGCGTGAAGCCTGCTAAATCGTCGCAGTGCGGATCAGCAGCACATCATCCTCGTCCAGAAGATTGGGCGTTGGCGCGGAAGGCAGAACTAATCTTGTTGCGTGTGCTGGTAGTGGCGCTGAAGAGTATTTCGTAGAGTATAGACAGTATTTTAATTTTATATTTGGTTAATCTTCAGAGGTCGAAGATAAATTTGAATGGGTGGAAAGCGTATCCAATCGGCTTCAGAATACGAATTCTTGAACGTCCTATATTCCCCTGGCATTAATCTAGCTGAATCAAACAACAGAGATCTCCCCACTCGTTTGGTAATTCATAAATATTCACTCATAATAAAATAGTTCAGTTATTCTTTCGACGAGTTCTCTTATCACTCGGAGAAATTTATACACATCTGCCATCGCAATTCCTGCACTGAACAAAGCCAAGTCCCGGCTGTGTGACTTTACTTTGCTCCTAGCCTAATAGTTGCCCCAGATGTTCCGAGTGTCTAGGTTGCTGCCTCGGCTACTGGTCCAGTTATTCGTATCAAATTCGCATTTTTCTCTGTTCGGTTGCAGTGCCCTTTTATGGCATTAGAGAGGGGAGAGTCGATCTTCCAATTTAAATAGCCCTTTAATCGAAGCATAAATATGCAATTGCTTTGCGAGTTCTGTTCTTCTCTTCCAAGGAAGCCAGCAATTTGACTACACTTTCGGCTCGGGTTCAGAGATCTAGCTGGTCTGGCTCTCCTTGCCGTTGGACATTTTATTTGTCCGTCTGTCGACGTGTTCGTGTAGACACTCTTGTTCGGCACAGAGTTCGCTTTTAGCCGGTCTTAAATTTCGGCAAACTTGGCGCAAAAAAAAACACAAAGTAACAATCGGAGGGTGTGCAGAGTGGGTGGGGGTGGGGCGGCGATGCACATTGGTGATATTCGAAGAGTTTGGAGCTGGTCAGAGTGCAAACAATTCCTGGAATTGTTCACATTCCCCACTTATTAATAATACGCTGTTGTCCGCTGTTGTCCGCTGTTGCCTGCCTGTTGCCCGCTGGACTTGTGCCTGCATTCAACATACATTCGCTTAATTATCGCACATACATACATACACATGTATGTTCTCTCGTCTGTCCCTGTCCCTGTGCCAGGGGCAACATCTGAAATTTCACCTGGAACCCCCGCCCGAGACCACAAACATATGTTTTTCTGTGTGCTTAATTTTCAATGTTCCTCTGCTGGTGGTTTTCTTTTTTGCTGTGGATTCTCGCACTGCAGTAATTCATACAACAAAAAAGGGGCAAACAAATAATACAAATTTCACGCGAAAATTCCAGAGCAGAGCATAAAAAAGTTTCGACATCAAAGGTGAGTTTTCCCTCCGAATTGTGCGTTGAAATTGTGCTCGGAATTAGCAGTTCGTGGAGTTGAATGGGATAAATTAATGGCGAACCACTCCTAATTGCGTTAAATATGTTTAAATAGTTTTTAATAGTTTTTCCCCACAGTTTTGCATGAATTAGTGCTGCTGCAAATAGATCATTTCTGGATAGCTTTTGCGTTCCATCCATTCAGTTAAATTACTTTCGCAGCCCATGGAAGTTTGCCAACTCTGTCTGTAGATATTCAGAATTTGGTTGTGGATTAGTTACGTTTCAAAAGCTGTGTCTAAGCCTCGTTAATTTACTTTGTCGAATTAGTTTCTGTATTATCTACTCATATTCCGTTGTTTAATTTGCAACCAATTAAATCTTACTCGTATTTAGCATATCAGCTGATCACATTATTGCCTTACGGAACTAGTTCCGTGACCCACTCAAGGGGAAACTATGTATATTGGTTCAATGCCAAGCTAGTTCCGGAATCGTTTCAGTATCGTTTATCTCGTTACTGGAATTGGCTCCCCATTCCATGCAATGCCCATTGCCTGGTCGTCCCACTCCCCACTTCATTCTCTGGAGCGGAAGCATCCAGAACAAGTCCCACTCTGGCACACATCGTCATTATCATGGAAGCTATTAGTGTGCATTATGTGTGGAATGATTATCATCTCCGTTTGTTCTTTTCGCCTTCTTTTTTGTGGTCCCCCACTACTAGGGGCGAAAAGGAGGAGGGCTTAAATGGAGGCACAGCGAACCTGGCGCTCCATTGGTGCCTCGTACTATTTAGGCCTTCCTTTTTTTTATTCGCTAACATAGTTTTTTAGAAGCTTATCACAAGCAACATTTTGAATTTTACTTATCCTATCCATCCCCAAATTAGCCCTTGTTTTCAATGATGAACTTTTCATTCGACACAAATTTCATTGGGTTTGAGTAAAGCAAATGGTCGCAGGGATCCCAATCTGAGCGATATGTTAGCTGGAAGGGTAATTCATTGAATGAATTTGTTGCATGGATAATCCGCATTTGATGGGCAATCAAACTGAAGTCACCAAAAGTGATTCAGTATTTTATACCCGTACTCAAGAAGAGTTAAGGGGCATATTGTTATTGTGGTATCAGCTTCGGTATCGGCATCGGCATCGGCTATTGATGCTGACCAAGAACATATGTTTATACATACTTTATGGGATCGGAATCTGTGGAATCATTCTGTGCGTTACACTCTGACCAAACATCGAATGTAACCCTTGCGGGTATAAAAAATTAAAATTAAATATTCAATTTAAGGATAAATCTTCATACTGATAAGTCAGATGCTGGAATGATAGCCAGCTTGTACACCTCCCTTGTTCTGTTTCCCCTCTCAACCCATTATGTCCGCTTTTTTCGTACTCCTCTGCAACTGAATTAACTCGTTGTGAAACTTTTGTGGAAAAGCTTGGAGAATAAGTTTTGTGGAGAGAGATGAAAACTGACACAACAACTTGATATGTTGGCTAAATACTTTATGGAGCTTAATGGCGAGTGTTGGTAAGGGGTGTGTGGTGGGGGGAGGGGATGTTGGGGATGGAGAAGTGTGAAAAGATGCTAATTAAAAGCAGCGACAAATTCAATCAAAGCCAAGCGGCTCAACTTGAATTGTTTAATCAACAAAGTCTGGCTCCCTGGCTCTCTGGCTGCCATGTTTCTCTCTGGCTTCATCTCTCATCTCATCTCGTCTCCTCTCTCTCTATCTCCCTCCCATTCCTACTCAATTTGCCTGCCCTCTTTCTGTTTATCTCCGCCAGACAAACAGCCGCCAACAAATATCAAGACACAAAACAAGATAAAGTACAGAAGATGAGACCGAAGCTGAAGATACCCTAGCACATGGCGCGATTATAGAAAATATACATCTCTGAACTGGATATTTAACGGGTAGCCTGTACTCTCCACTCGTATTATGTGCACATGCATATGTACATAGGCACATACGGTACATATGTACGTCATGTTGCAACAATTATAAACAGCATTTCGATCCTATTGTTGGTCTATCTTCAGACCCACTTTAAGCTCCGAATGGCTTTGCCTTTCATCTCTTAATATAAATTTTAATAAATATAAATGGATTGCCAACTTTTACTCGATGTGTGTATGACCAGCGGGAAGGGTATTGAAGAGTTGAAGTCTGTCCCCCCGAGAAATTCTTGAACTCGTCCGTAAGGTCGACCAGTGTCCCCTGCCTCCGCCAGCAATGAGTTGTGGCAGAACAGGTCTCCAATTGATTGTTTGTTTGATTGACTGATTTATCAACTGATTGATTAACACTCTCTCTCTCTCTCTCTCTCTCTCTTTCAGCAATGGGTCATCATCCATGAGGCCTGAGCAGCGCGTCAATCGCTGCTAGCTGTAGATACTCGTATGGCCTGCCACTTGTTGCATGCAGCACTCATGATGCAACAGGAAGAGCAGCAGCAGCAACAGCAGCCACAGCAACAGCCACAACGAACTCGATTCAAGTCTGCAGCTTGCCACTCATACGCCATGTGGGCGAGGGGCGTCAATCGGAGGATGTTGCAACAGCAGCCAGCCAGAAAAACAGCCGCAACAGCCACATTAGCCCATGGCCAAGGCTAGGGCACACACACCCACACCGACACCCGCAATAACTGCATTCAAAAGCAACAGCAACTGCAACTGCAACCGCAACAAGAAACAGCTTCAAAAAGTTGAAGAATTTTTGCTGAACTTAACGAAAAGCAACGCAAAATGTCTGAGGTAAGTTGCAGCAATTAGGGATTAAGGGATAAGAGGGGCGCGAAGGATGCTCCGGGACCGAAGCATCGGATACCCTCGGAAATCGTTCGTTCCTCTGAAGCCTTAAATTAAGTAAAAATGGACCATCCATACCAGCAATGCATTCCCACCTGACTTCCTGCTGATTCCCCAATTGGAGTTCAAATATTGTACAACTGAAATGAATATGTGGACCATTTACTGGAGGAACTCTAAGCTATAATACTCGTACCAATGGAAAGATCAGAAGTCTGTGAAATCAGTTCCCTGATGGGGTTGCAACAAATCTCAAAGTAATTGTGGCGAATGGTCTCATTTCCGTCTCATTGCTGCCGAGTGAGTCCGTTCGCTTATGGGAATTGTGTACTATGCACCCACCCATCATAGATATTACACGATATTCAGGTTGGGTACACCGTGGGTAAAGTTTTGCAAAACAATTTCCCCAAAAACAAATCAGTTTAGCCCCAAAAAAAAAACCACAAAGCCAACAAAATACCCGCAGTGGTCTGTGCAGCAGAGGAGAGTCTTGAGAGTGGAGACTTGGCGCTGAAGTCGGAGATGACTGGTAAAAGTCCAAACAGCCTCTGCCAAGGGCAGCACAGCACGGATAAGGGATGACGCCGTGCTTGGTGTGCTCGAGGCGGGACCTGGAGAAGTGAGCGTCTCCTTAGGTGGTGTGCGGGGAGCATTTCCATTTTTATTGAATTAAAATCGATTTTCAGTTTATTTTATCAAAAGACTTAAGAGCATCAAACACATTAAAAGCAAAAAACAAGACCACACACGCACACACACTCACACACAGCACACAGCACACAGACCTACCCATACTAGTGTAGTGGGGCAGGATGAAAGACAAGGAGCTGTTAGTGGGGGGAGACATTTGGCGGAGGGGGAGTGACGCCTGCCATTGTCAGTAGAACGTTAGCTCAGCGGTCTCCTGCCCGCGTCCCTGTCCTCCCTTTGTGTCTCGCAGGCCAGAAAGAACAATAAACTCGACAGGGCGATGCTCGACCTGGACCATGACCTGGAAACGGCCAGAAAGATCATTCCCCTGAGGCAGAGAACTCTGCTTAGCCTTTCGGATGTATGACTAGTTGGGAGTAATTATTTGAAGTATAAAAAGGATTCTCCCAACCAGATATTTTGCTGCATTGAATTCGCGTAAGTGTATGTGACAGTCACAGGAGAGGAGTGCTCATTCGACTCCATTAATTGTAATAATATATCAGAGAGACCATAAGAGACAGAGCTAGACGGGTACAGAGTTGGATCATTATTATAGCCAGAGAGAGCCAGCCTCAGTCTCTGCCAGACTCTCTCTCTCGGCAGGTAATGGTCTTCTTCTAGCTCCGACCAATCACTATACTGTTTGATACGTGTCGCCACATTCCTAAATGGGCTTGGACAACGCGCAAATGGAACCATTTCAGTGTCAATAAATTAGATCAAATAAAATGATCAAAGTCATCTGAACAAGTCCGTCCGCGTAGCTTTATTTGATATGAGGTCTCACAATTTTGAAACTGCTTGGCAGAGACTCTGCCACAGGCTGTCAGTAGAAGAGCCCAGATCAGGTATGTGTATAAGCTATGCCAAAGTGGGAAGCAATTATGCGCAACATACCCGTATCATGTGTATCTGTGTACATATATCTAACGTATTGGTAAAAAATTAATGCTTGAGAACACTCAGAGAGTGCAGAAGGCTCTCTAAGTATTCTCTCCAACTCCAAGACTCTTTCTCCTGCTTCCCCTTTTGATTGCTCGTAGCTGCTGCACTGCAGGAGGCTTTGGCACAATTCGTTGGTCTACTTTCAAAGGATTTCTCGTGAAATCTCTGACTCGGAACTCAGCCTTTGGCTCGACCCCCAGGGTCACAGGGCACCATCGAATGTAGCGAACTGCAGCGAACTTTCTCAGTTGCGTTCCCTCTCCTGCCGGCCCGCATAGCCATTTGAATTTTGGGTCAGTGACGTCGTCGTTGGTGTCGCCGCTGTCTTCTCATGTTTATGTATGCGAGGCACAGGCGGCACAGGCGGCACAGCCAGCACACATATGGGGCGAATGCTCGTGGAGAATCGTCAGCAACAGGCGGATATAACGACACATCCAAGCAGCTGTCGCCATAAACAAACACAGCAACAGCAACAGCAGAGGCGCAGGCACAGGCACAGGCAGAGGCACACACCGACATGGCCACGGGGGCAGACACAGGCACAGACACTGACACAGAAACAGACACGAGTATTGACCTAATTTGCACCTGTTTACAAATTCATTCGAGCCACTACAGCACCCCAGTGCTCAGCAGCGCTGCCCCGTGCCCACCCGTGCCTCACCACTGTTGCTCCCTGCTCAGGTGTCCTCGCATCCTGGCAGGACTTTGTGCTTTTGGCGCATGATTTATGCAGCAAACGAAGCGACAGCCTCGACACCGCCCCACAGCGAGCGCCTTTAAGTGGGTCGACCATGCCCAAGTCCAAGCCAAGTCGATCCGAACCAGAACCAAAAAACAGAACCCAACCCAAGAGCTTGCCCCTACTAAGCCTGTGGTGGCGCCTCCTCTCTTTCAGATTGCGCTGGCATGTTATTAGGGAACAAATTTGCATTTGGCGCAGACGACAGGAAGGGTTGGTGTTTGGGTTGGGGATGGGGATGGGGATGGTGACGGGGTACCAAATTTGCAAATGCAAAACTTGATGTTATTGTGCGGCGGCTTACCCTTCTCCTTACCTGGCAGCGTATGCCTGATCTTTGGAGAGGATGACGGGCGAAAGCCTCTGAGCGCTGGCATCAGTTCAATTGAGCCGCGATGCTTCCACGGAGAGTGAATAAACTAAAAGAGAACATGAAATAACTTAGCATAAAACATAAAATTATTAAACTGTTAGGAAGGAATGGGGATTTTGACCCATGGTGCAATCAATAGTTTGTCATACGCCATGCCAGCATACATGGCGTATGATTGATATTATCACAGAATGACAAACTATTGATTGCACGCACCATGGGCTAAGATCCCCTTTCTTCGCTTAAAAGTAACCTTTTGTTTGGTTCCGAATTTTTCAATTTATTTTCTGTTTTTAGTTCCCAATACTTCCCGTAGTTGCGGCTTAGTAGAGATTTTAAAAATGTTTACGAACTACCTCTAATATATTTACGATCAACCAAATCATTTACTCACTGAAAACGAAAGTGAAGACATGTGAAATTATTGTTAGTATTAATTTGTTTTATTGTCCAATTGTTCGATGAGTTGTTGCTTTCGATCCAAAATAATAAATTCAAATGTATGTAAATATGTAAGTTCTCTACGGAAACACTCTTTTAAACATACAACTCATTTATTTAGCTAGTTCCGAATATTTGTTTATATCAGTAGCAAGTTATTAAATAAACAATCATCCCCTTCTGCACGTTTCTGTTCGGATATTCTGATAAAAAAAAACCCAAATCCAAATTTACATCGAATTTGTTTCCATGGTGCAAGAAATGGAGGGAAATTCAGCCAAAATCTACGGGACACACATTCAGCATTCGCAGAAAAGCATTCGTAGGGCAACAATTATATAAATTGATGAACATTTGAAGAGCTAATTAGGCCACTCAGAAATGGAGCATGCAACCCACTTTCACTTCAGTTGCGGACTCGAATTAGAAGCTTTTTAATGCTGGGACTCCAAAGCGATTAACTTTAACGTTTAATGAGTCTGAGCTGGGATAAAGCCTGGCGCTGATGATGATGAGCAGATGGGAAGGAGGGAAGGATGAGACGCAATGGGAATGATGTCTGGCAATTAGGCCATCAATTCAGCACCGCTGTGACACTGACAATGAGATGCGCTCCAACCCAGAACCATATCCCTACTCTTACCCCATTCCCGATTCCCCATTCCCCATTCATCATTCCTCATTCCTCACTTTCATCATCATAATCATCGACGTAGTCGTCGTCGTCGTCGCGGGTTCGTTGTCTTTGACAGCTTGAATCTGTTGTTGTCCGGGCATTGATTTCCCTTTGATTGATGCGTTTTTAATGAAGGCGGCGCCAGGTGCGGCACTGCCCGGGCACTGCCTCGAATCATTAGTGCAGAGAATTGAAACGATTTTTTGTATGCTTGTGCTTGTCCCTGCCCCTGCACCAGCCCCTGTCCATGTCCATGTCTATGTCCCCATTGCTGCCCTGCCATCCCTGCCACAAAGACAAACAAATTGTGCTGGCCAGGAACCTTGATCCGCAATAAACTAAATGAAAAATAAATAGTCAATAACAATGGAAAATATCTGGGTAGGTAGGAATAGAAAGGGGAACAGAGACAAAGGCAATGACAGAGGCATAGAAAGAGAAAGAGAAAGAGCAAGAGCAAGAAGGAAGTGTCGCAATGTCGTAGTCTGAAATCGACACGGCAACAAAGTTGCGACAGGCAAACAAAATGGCCCACAGCCCGCTCCAGAGCCAGTCCTGGGCACAGGACTGGGCACACTGAACTGAACTGAACTGAACTGGCAAACAAGTGACACTCCACGTGAACTATGTACACAGACAGGTAGACAGAGAGACAGGCACACAGGCACACAGGCACACAGGCAGACAGGAAGGGGAGCCTCGCCTGGAAGTATGCCACGAAAAAACACGGTAATCACAAACTATGCCACAGCTCTAGCTCCAGAGCTCCGCTACAGCGAATAGCATTCTGGGGGAAGGAACGAGAAGGAGGAATCTCCTACACCTACACCTACACCTACACCTAATGAAGACCAAGAATGTGGGTTCTGCGGGAGCGAAGGCAGGCACTGACATTCCCTGACACACTCGCAAAGTACGAGTAAGTATGCTGTGGGGAAGCTCTGCTTCTAGGCCTGGGAATTGGAGCTGTCCCTCGTCAGTAGGTTTCCATTGCATCAATTCGGATCGATTCGCATTCCACGCCAGCTATCCAGCTATCAAAATGGGACAGAACAAGGGACACTTGCCCT